TGCTTCCTTCTTGAACTAATTTCTTGGAATACGTAAGAGGCCATACCCATGCACTGTGGAAACCAATTAGAGGTCATTGCCTTTTATGGGGAGGGGAGCATTTATTTACTTAGTAGATTTACTGCCTACTCACTCTCAATCTGGGAGGCTTACAAACAACAAAAAACCAACATAAAAAGAATAAAAAAACAATAAATCCCCACCCCACCCCCTTGTGACAACAAGCAATCAGACAAGCCCCTTCATGGGCTCCTCCTTACTCTGGGTTCCCCAGGCCCATTGGCAGAACCAGGTCTTCAGGGCCTTGTGAAAGAGCATCAACATTTGGGTCAATGTAATCTCTGAGGATGATGTTCCAAAGAGAGAGAATCATTTGTATCACTGCTTTGAATAACCAAAGGTTGTGCATAAAACAAAATGTATTCTTAAAGTTAAGCTGATCTGTTCCAGGGTGACTAGGATATGGATGGAACAAAATCTGGAATGTTTGCTTGTTTTAGTTTTAGATAATCCACATAATGAATGTTAGCCTCATTAGGTAAACCAGAGCAGAAAACCAATTCCACAGGAAGGCTAAAACTACTTTTATTGGGATTGTCTATATAAGAAGAGAAACTTGCAAGTCTGAATGTGCTGTATCTTTCCCCTCTTATACTCCTGTTCATTAGGAAAAGAGCCTCTTCCAAATGTTTTCTATTGGTTGTGGACTCAAGATCTGCTTTACCCATGGTCACTTTGATAAGAGAACTGCCATATCTGTAACAATCTTCTTCCTTGTGCTTTACATTAACATGATTTCAGAGGTTCTGGACATGTAAAATGATGGGATGCAGAGCAAATCTCAAACAGCAAAACTGGATAAGTCCTGGACTGAAGCAAAAAGAGAGAAAAATAATTCAATTTAAGCGATTGTCCAGATGATCTGGTAGCCTTGCCAGGCTGGCTCCAGATGGTTAAAAAAATCAAGAAGGTGGCCATAACCATTTTGCTAACTATGTTGTCTGCACCCAAAAGCCTCACTTTGCAATCCAGAACATGGATTCCCTCCACTCCACTCCAACATTTAAAAGTTTATATTTTCTTTTTTCCTGATTGTCTGCAAATAAATTTAAAAATTACATAGGATGGGAAATAGTGGGAGGATTGTCCAGCCTGTCCAGGGGAGAGATTCCTGATTGGGAAATCCTCAAAATCTCTTTGCCAACACCATGTCTTGTAAATTAACATATTGGATAGCATTTACAGCTCTTAACACACAAACTAAAAGATTTCTTGATAAACCAAGTACCTACTCGTAATCCCCTTAACAACTTTTAAAACTGAAGTGCTAAAGAAAAACTTGAGCAAACAGCAAGTTCCAACAGGTCTTTCCAGCAAAGTATGCCATGAATCCCACCAGCAATATACAAGAACACGAACAAGCTAAAATGATACAATCTGTGTAGAAAGGAGGTCTAGTCAAACCCTCACGCAGGCAGGAATCCTCAGACCATCCAAGGACCTTCCGATCTTTGTTCCAAAACGCCAGTGATAGAGCCTCCGTGACTCCCAAGAGAGAGGCTGTTCCAGAAAATTCCTCATTTTGAGTTTGGATCTTCCTCTAAAGCTTCTACCCATTGGTTCTTGTCCTTCCCTTGAACACTACGGAGCATAAATCTGCACCCCACTTCTTTGACAGCCCTTCAGGTATTGGAAGACTGCTCTTATGACTCCCTTTGGCCTTTGTTTCTTTAAGCTAAACTTACTCAGTTCCTTTAACTGTTCTTCATAGAATTTAGCCTCCAAGGCCCTCACTATCTTTGTGGCTCTTCTCGGCACTCTTTCCAGTGCTTCAAATCCTTCTTGTATTGTGGCAACCTGATATGGATATGATATGTGGAGGTCTGATCAGTGCAGTGGGAGGGGAGGTATCCACACACTCAAGGGCCTAAGAGAATAAAACACAGGTTGGCTCTTTTTACAAAATAGAAGAGCAAGGTTAGGACTGAGGGATTATCCCCATATATCATACGTTTGATTAAATCACATACCCACAATTGCTAATACTTCCAGACCAGTACAACAGTTACACTTGCCTTTTCTCTTGCGAGATTAATAAAAGTTTGGCATGATTTCATTCAGATAAATCAGACTGGAGGAAAGGATGTTAAAGAATCCTACTATCACTGCTCCAAAAAAAGAAAAGATGTGATGTTTTAAAGATAGGATATATGCCCCATAGTAACTGTTGTTCTATTCCTCACAGCACGAGCACATTCCACCAACCTCTTTTCTTTCAGCTGTGACTCCACCATGTGGCCATTACAAATCTTGCAAGAAACCTATGACTAAAGCAGAGGTGGGGAACCATGGTCCCTTTTCTGACTTGTGGACATCAACTTCATGCCGACTCAGGAATTCTGGGAGTTGAAGTCCACAAGTCAGAAAAGAGACATGGTTCCCCATCCTTGGCCTAAAGGGAAGTAAGATCAAATCTCCTGGGTAATATTTTTTTTTATTCTGGCCAGCATTTTGTGTATGTATTGTATTGAAGTATTAGCTTCAATTGTGGGATAAGGGATGGGAGGAGGAAAAGGTGGGGTGGAGAGAGAGATGGATGGATGGATGGATGGAGAAAGGTGAGAAAAAAATGAAAATAGGCAAATGAAATGGAAAATATAGGGATTGTGTTGGGGTTAAAGCTTTTGAGGTTTTTCCCACAATTTAATCTTATTCCAAAATCAAATAAGTGCATTAGTTTAATATTTTCCAATACTAATGATGGGTCTCCTTTTCAATATTATGTGATTTCTTTACTGACGTTTTTCTGATTTAAATCTTTATTTTTTTTTCTGGGCAACTTGTTTATTTTTCAAGGGTGATTAATAACCAGCACCAGATATGCAAGATCGACACAGCAACGATTTTATTAAAATATTTTCTTTAAGACATGTCAAACAAAAGCATTATTATAAAAAGATGAACCATTGCTAAGTTGCTCAATGCAGTACATACTAAAAAGGAGGGAGGGGCTTGCATCATGAAGACATGTCCTCCATCTTACCTTTTTGGCATTTCTCAGGGGCACTACTGCTTTCTTTTTCTGAATTTAAAAAGATTGCTTTTTAAGATTCCCCCATGATTCCAGTTTAAGGCTAGCTTGAAGTATATATTCTCACTTGAACAAACTATAGCTAAAAGAGCTGGGGACTAGTCAGACAGGCCAATGTTTCCTCATCAGGGAGGAAGGCCACCATTTTTGTACTTGACAATTCTTTGTAGGAAAGTTAAAAGCTAACTGGCTTCTCACCTTGGTCCCCTTTTCATGGGTAGTCCAGAGATGAACCCTAGAGCTTTAGCCAGTGCATAGGTTCTGGAAAGAAGTTGGGATCTAGGAATGGCATAGCCTTGGAACCAGAAAATGAGTAATATCTGGTTTGGCCCTCCATCTTGCCTACATTATACAATCTACATTCAATAGGGCACTTCCACAGGACATGATATCCATTCCCCAATCCCTCCAAGGCAGTTTTCACTGCAATCTTGAAAATACATAGACCGGAATGAGCAAATGGAGGTTCTCCCTCTCACTGATAAGAAACAGTTTGCCAAAGCATAGTTCCTTTACTACCTGATTCACTGCTAGTCTTAAGTAACAAGACTTGCCCTCTCTGAAAGAAAAAAAATAAGTTGCTAATTTCATTCAGGTTCCCAATACATTATAAACATTTATCTGATCATGTTCAAAATAAATGAAGTGTCATTTGGAACAGTGAAATTATCCAGTTACCAAGATATCATTCTTTCTATATTAACAATTCCATTCGGAACTGTGAAAGTGAGACATGAAGACTTGCCCTATGCTTCTAACCAGGAATAGAGCAAGAAACTTTTAACAAAATGCATACGTTTAGACTGCAGAAACTGGAAGGCAATGCAAGTGCTGACTATGTCATTGTTTCAACTTTACTAACCAAAATCCCTTCACTTCCCATTCCATACACAAAGGAAATAAAAGGGAAAGAAATCCTAAATAGCCTGTATTTTGCATGTCACTTTGTCCACAGCTAAAAAGAGAGGAGAACTAATCAGATTTCTCTCAGCCTGCTTCTCTGGTGGGTTACTCAGGGGGAAAGGCAAGGCTGGCAAGTCAGTTTTCCTCTTAAAGGACCTACTCAGGATTGCTGAAATTCAAAAGCCAGGAAGAGGAATGAGGCAAGACTTCCGTCCAATGGGAAAACAGGTTGCTTGCAAGCTCTCTGGAACTTATTTCAACCCATCCTATTAGCTGGACATGGTTATCGTGCTCTGGATCTCATCAATTAAGCAACATCATCTTATATGAGCTAGGAGTTGTGACTTTCCTATCATTGCACCTATCCTATGGAATAGTCTTCCCGGCGTCCTGAGATATGGCTCCAACTTGCTAGCATTTAGGAAACCATATAGGCAGGGGTGGGATTCTACCAGTTTGCACCTATTCGCTAGAACCGGTTGTTAGCATTCTAAGCAGTTCGGAGAACCGGTTAGAAGAAATTACTGGCCTAATCCTGTAAGGAAGGCAGGAAGGAAACATTCTGGTGTTGCTGACAGAAACTGCCTCTCCATTAACCCTTATTACATTCTTGGCAGGACTAGACTTCCTGTCTCAGGAACTTCTCTGGAGTTTTGTTCCCCTTCTTTGCTGGTACTTTGCTTGTGTGGAGTGACCATTCAAAGTTACAATGGCACTGAAAAAAGTGACTTATGACCATTTTTCACACTTATGACTGTTGCAGCATCCCCACAGTCATGAAAGGCCAGGCGAGGAGATGCGTGCCTCGATGTGAGTGATATTGAGTTGGCCACGCCCACCAACTAAGCTACGCCCACAGAACCGGTTGTTAAAAAATTGGAACCCCACCCCCGCATATAGGCCTGCCTCTTTCTGTAGGTTCTGGGATAGGACATGGGGCTGCTTTTAAGCTTATGTGAACAACCTTAGGAATAAATCAAATGAAATCACTTTTGTATGTGTGAAGATGTGCAATTTTGTCCCACAGGTACTTTTTTTTCAGGAGGCAACTGGACTTTCTTGTTTTTTCTTTTGAAGACATTTCTCTTCTCATCCAAGAAGCTTCTTCAGCTTTGACATGATAGTGGGGAATGGAAGGATTTATATTCCTTGCAGACAGCTTGACATTTACATCCTACTATACAATTTGAGATGAATGCCCTTTGAATGGTGTGAGAGTAGGAATGGATTTGCAGAGTATAGGAACCAGGACCACTCCTCAGGTGACCCTGAGGACACAGTTAAACCTCCAAGTGCCTCAAAGACCTTCTAAAAAGATGCAAATGTCCAACTGTCTGTAAGGAGTCTAAATCCTTTCATTCCCCATCATCCAGTCAGAACCGAAGAAGCTTCTTGGATGAGAAGTGAAACATCTTCAAAAGAAAAAACAAGAAAGTCCAGTTGCCTCCTGAAAAAAAGCACCTTTGGGAGAACCATGATCTGGATAACTGAGGATCTCTACAGACGTATGCGGTTTTGGTTTTACTGCAACAGAACTGTCAGGTCAGTTGCCAATCTTAGGTAAACATTACAGGTTCACAGAAGTCTAGGGCCACTTCTGCAGTGTTTGTGGGCAAAACTCAGGGAACAAACAATGAGGCAAGAGAAGACACATTGTTTGGAAAAATGAGAAGAGGCAATGCAAATGACTTCACCGTCCCTTTGCTGTATGTTGCTCTGTCATTCACAGAAAGACCCTGAAGTGAGAAAGTGGCACCGTGTAACCTTTTGATCTTTTGCCTTTGTGCCACGTGCCTCCATTGTGGAGAGTAGTGCCGTAACAACCACAGTGATATATAAAAAGCATTCCTTGCCCAAGTGAGAGAGGGCAGGCATGAAAACCAAATATTTCTTTTAGTCCTAGCAAGGCATTTCTGATAACCACAGTCAAACTAGAGCTGTAATTTCTTTGCCATATAAATAGACGGAGATGAAAATGTGCCTTAGCCAAGAACTATATAAAAGGCTTCCCTAGTCTGGCTCCCTCACAGGCTAATCTTACTGGGAAACTGCATTTCCTCTTTCTTTCTCTGCATTTTTGCAAAACCTGCTTGCCCATGACATCCCACGAGAAGGAACCTTCTCCCACTATCATCACTGTCAGGCCTCCTGTGGTCCCCCAGGATTATATGATTTGGTCAGTCTTCAACACCCTCTATATGAATATCTGCTGCCTGGGCTTTGTAGCTCTTGCCTATTCTGTCAAGGTAGGAGATCTTTTTGATATTATTCTATATTGAGAGTTGCATTGGGGTTTAACTGTTTACCTGAGATGGTCCCTACTAAGGAGTTTTTGGAAAGAACAAAGAGACAGAGGAACATGTTGATGTGGGAAAGACTAGGCTACAATGAGATCAATCCTTACTTATGTTAGTTATTTTGGGAGGTGTTATTTCCAATGAAACTAGTTTAGGCTCACTTACTGAAAAGGACTACATGAGCAAGAATCAGCAGAGAATTTATAAGACAACCTTTGCACCAGTATCTTTGCCATCTGGTGATGAATAAATAAATGGTAGTTATGTTTAAGAGGCTACATTCTGTGCTTTGTGAAAATGTGAGATTAAAAACAGCATAGCATGATAACAGAGGTAGTGATATACAAGCAATTGGAATCAGTCGAAGCACAGATGGGGAAAAAAAACCTCTAGGAACTATTTAGAGTGTGTGGGCAAACTGTAGAAACAATTTCATGTGGTTTTCCCTGGAAGGAAGACATTCCATGTTCCTATTCTGGTTAAAATTAAAGAATGTTTAACTGCTGATCTACCAAGATTAAGGACATGAATTGATTTCTCCTGATGCCTCTTTGGGATTTCTGCATTAGATTAGCCTTCCACAAGTTAGATGGCATTGAACTGAGATGTATGAAATGTAGCAGCACATCACTAAACAGAATTGTTAACGTGGATTCTGTTTTTTTTTTTTTGTCAGCATTCTTCCCCTAAACTGTGCCATTTGCACTTTGGAAGACAGGGGAAGAGCACAAACATTTAACATGACAGCAAGCTGATATAAAGTGGTTTATATAAACTGTATGTATTCAAAAATACGTTTTCAAATATTACATTTTTTTTCCCTTGAAGGCTCGGGATCAGAAGGTGACTGGGGATCTGGAAGCTGCTCATCGCTATAGTTCCAAAGCCAAATGCTACAACATCCTCGCCACAATGTGGAGTGTGGTGCTACCATTGGTGCTCATTGCTTTGGTGATTACAGGTGTCCTTCACCTTTCCAAGCTGGCTCAGGAATCCATGGACTATTTGGCTTACAGACTGTTCCCAGAGGATGTTGAGGACAAAAAGTGAGGGGGAAACAAGAGTTGGATATAACTCAAGCACTGCACAATACAAAACCTCTACCGGTTTCTGATCTGGGTCATCTAGTTCACTACAGCAAAGCATTAATCAAGCGTAGGACTCCTTTCTCAGAAAATGCTGCAGATGTTCATCCTTGGTGTCCTTCATAAACTTGTGGCTGAATTGTTCTGTCTCTGCTCTGCCTCACACTTCTCTCTTAATTTTCCTTCCTAGCTTTCTTATATTCTGTGGGATCTGCACACATTTTGGGTAAGCAGACATGCAGAACTCAAAGAAAGCAGGTAAAAAAGGTAGCCTAATAAAAAATTATTATGCTTCTGGAAACTGATTTGTATTTATAAAGATAGCCTTGTTTCTTTCAAATTACTTGCTAATATGTTTCTATCTATAGGATTAATAACAAGATATATTAGCTAAAACAGATTTTTTTAAGCTGATCTTTTTTATGTTTTATTTATGGTGAGATCCCAGGACAAGCAATCTTGAAATGAATTGTTAATGGAATTTAATCAATCTAGCATATGCAGAAAATCAATGGGAGGGTTTATTTTATTTTATTTTTAACAAAGGTGTAATTTAAGTTCAATAATAAATTCTCTCAACCAAGAGTTACATCCTCATTGAACTTAGTGGTATTTTTTTCTTAATAACATTTTAAAAGATCGTACTGTTAATCTATAAGCCAGAAAACGAAGTAATAAAATGTTTCATCATGCATTGACACAATAGATGGAGAGTCTTTTACAAAAGTCTTCCCCAATTGACTATATTTGCTAAGTGAGGCTGAGGCAAGTCAGAAATATTTAAAAGACATGTCAGAATAAGAACATTTGTCACTTGGGCATTTTTTTAGTTAATGTAGACTACAAGGTCAAGGCCCATTGAATAATTCTAATGGTTTGGTATTGGTGTGGGAGGGTGCTCTCTTAGATTACTTAGGAGCAAGCCCTCAAATCTTCCTTAGAGTCCTATTTGGTTCCTTACATGTTGCTGATGTCAATTTCTCTTTATACAAATAGTCCTTGATTTACAAGCATTCATTTAGTGGCTGTTTGAAGTTACAATGGCACTGAAAAAAGTGACGTATTACCATTTTCCACATTTATGACCCTCCCCATTGTCATGTGATCAAAATTTGGATGCTTGGCAACCAGTTCATATTTATAACGGTTCCAGGGTCCTGGGGTCACGTGATCACCTTTTGCGACCTTCTGACAAGCAAATTTAATGTGGAAGCAAGATTTACTTGGCAACTGTGTCAGTTAACAACTGCGGTTACTCACTTAACAACTGTGGCGAGAAAGGCCATAAAATCTTGCTTACAGCTGTTTTGCTTACCAAATTTGGGGATCAATTGTGGTCATAGGTCAAGGATTACCGGTAGTTGCTATTTAAGTACAGAACTGAGGCAGCACACTAGTGTTCTCTACATTTCAATGTTAATATAAGTAATTATTTTAATCTGGGTCATTTTTCAACCTATGATTGATTCTAAACTAAATAAAAGAGAGAAAGAGAGAAAGAAAGAGAGGGAGGGAGAGAGGGAGAGAGAACTCTGTAATATACACTTGAAGGTATAAAATTGTACAGAAAGGTATCTGAAGCAGAAGAATTAGGGGTATGTGCTTGCAGTGCTGTTCAAAAAAAAAAAAGTGAAGCTGACACATAAAGTATTTTAGCTTTCATTATGTGGTAGTGGCAGCCATCTTGCCTCTTTGACACCCTTTATTCTCTCCCTGGAAATGTCCTTGAGAAGAGCTGTTGTTATCAAGTAGAAAAGAAAATCCTTGACTGTTTAGAACAGGGGTCCCCAACCTCTGGGCCACAGTCCACTACCAGGTTGTGGCCTATTTGCAACCGGGCCGCATGACCGGTGGACTGGCACACATGCACGCGTGCCTCGCTGCCCTCAGGAGTTGAGCTGTGCACATGTGTGCCGGCCTGCCTATCACATGGACTGGTTCCCCTCCACTTCCCCAGGCTGGCCTCCAAGCCGCAAAGGTTGGGAACTGCTGGTTTAGAGTGAAAGGTGGTAACTTCCAACTGCAATCTCAGAGTTTTTCAAAACTAGCGATAGGAGAGATAATAGAATCTACTGCAAATGTAATTTGGACCCAAAATCTATTTTCTCTAAATCAGAGGTGTCAAACTTGCGGCCCTTGGGCTGGATGCGTTACATGCTGGTTACATGTCCCAATATGTCACCGTGACACCGCCATGATGATGCAAGTTTGACACCCCTGCTCTAAATAGTCATGACTTAAATGGGCCTGCAGCTTTAACTGAATAACTTCCTTAACGTACAGTTAAAGGCAATTTTGGGCAGGTCAAACAGATGGAAACTAATCTAGGAAAGAAGCAACCTGGAATTAACGAGAAACTTCCTAACAGTGGGAACAATTAACCAGTGGAACAGCTTGCCTCCAGAAGTAGGAAGTGCTTCATCATTGGAGGCTTTTAGGAAGAGACTGGACAGCCACCTGTCTGAAATGGTATAAGGTCTACTGCTTTAGCAGGGGGCTGGATTAGAAGACCTCCAAGGTACCCAATTCTATTCTGATTCTGATTCAGAAACATCTGTGTTATTCTTTCCTTTACTAAATAAATGTGATGCACTGCAGTGTTGAAACTGGATCAGGATATATTGTACTAATCTCTGCTTAATAAAATGCATAAACGATGCACCTATTCTAGATCTGAAACTGTTAAGTTTGGGTAATGAGAGGCTGAACCAGAGCATGAGTGCAACAAATACTTTATTGTGATAATAAAGAACTGAACGTGCTAGCCAAGCCTGGAACTGGCTCGCAGCGATCAGCGACTGGTTGGACCCCGCAGCCTGCTTTTATAGCTGGCTGCTGGGGAGAACTAACCAATGAGCGAGGGGGCAGCCGCCCCCGCAGCGCAAACGGACCTGAGTGGGAACTCCTTAGAGTTCCAGGGACACAACAGAAACAATCTGAATATTGCTTCGGATCTGGAATAGGAGATTGCTGCCGTATCCTCAGACATTTCTTAACCAAGCTTTTATTATAATAACCGAATATGTTAACTTTCTTTCACTTAGTAAAGGAGGAAGATATAGTCCACTTATATTATTACAGAGATACAGTACTTGCATTTGCTACCAATATAGAAGGATAATAAGATAACTCAAAACTCATCTACCAAGCTCTTCTGCTTTCCCTTGCCATTTGGGGCTTCTTGAGTGATGTTTTACAAAATGTCTATTGATTCACAACCTCTACTTAACATTCCTCTGAGGCTCATCCATCTTTAGATTCTTGGTTATGCCCAGGAACAAGGATTGCAATGTAGTGCAAAGACTCTGTAATTTACTGGTTTCCCTTCTCTCTTTTGCCTCGAACATTTGTTTTAAAAGCACCCCCTAGTATAAAAAGTCCTCTTTAATTTTGGATGCACATGGCTCCCACTAGTTTGTTTGCCCTGGCTATGTGTTAGCCCTTTGAATGCCTGGGTTGAAAATTTATTGCATAGCATGGCTATTTCAGGATAATAACAGAGAAGCTGCTGTTGCTGGTTTTTGAAGTCTGTTTGGCTAATGGCTACCTTGTTTACTATTGCTGATACATCTTACCAAGCACCATGTTTCCAGCTGTTTTGCTGGATGATGGCATGAGATGTGTGAGCTGTTAAAAACTCATTATTATCTCATTATTATCAGCTAAACGTTGCAGCCTGTGGGCATGGGAAACCAATGGGATATGCCATTGCTAACAGCTCCTTTTCATTTGCCGGTGTCTTGATTGGGCAACGTGGAAGAACTGGGTGGGCAGAATTGTCACTTTCCTTAACTTCTAGGTTGATTCCCAGATATAGGTTATAGAATAACAGAGTTGGAAGAGACATTAGAGGTCTTCTAGCCCAACCCCCTCTTCAGGCAGGTGACCCTAATGTCAGGATTCCAAGCAATAGAGCCAAGTGTCCAAGATAGCTTCGGTCAGGTCAGCTTCAGGGTTGACACCTATACAATTTCAGACAAATGGCTGTCTTCTTGAAAATCTGTGTGGTCAAAAGGATTCTGGTGTATACAGGATTTAGAATTTCTGTTTATTCAGATTGCCATTGAATGTGAGCTCCTGCTCAGCATTTTATTAAGGCTGAAATCTTAGATTCCCTTCTTTGTGAATGCAGTGGGGTTTCCTTCTGAGCAAGCCTGCAGGTAAATGGCTGTGTATAACTAGAGATCTCCTAGAAGAGCAGCTCACAGCCATTTCTAGCTACTTGACACATGCTCAACATATTGCCTTTTATAATGTCAACTATTATTGCAAGATAGCGATCCTGAAATCACACTGAAATAACTTCCTTTGAGTGAGAGTTTTGATTTGTGTCTGTGCATATTTATTTAGAAGAATACTGTTGTTCAAAAAATAGTTAACAATTTCAATAAGCTTCAATATTTTTTTTCCCACAAAAAAAAATCAATGGGAGTTTTAAAAGGACTGACATTTTGCTTCACATATATCAAACTTAGATAAGTGGCAGAACTGCTATGTCTTACATGGAGGTTCCTGCTGTCAGTCATAGAAATTACCTTAGATTGGAGAAAGATTTCTCAAAATGAATTTAAAAGGCCATTTATAATGCTTCAGCCCTACATATTACTTCAAAAATCATCCTTCTGGCGGCAGCTCAATGAAGAAAAAGACAACTTCTATTCCCTGAACCTGCCCTAAAGGGCTTCAGAACAGTTGTGGGCATTTGGTGATTAAGGGACGAGCATTTTCTCTACTAAAGACTGGTCTTGAGTTGCCGCCAGCCTAATTACAGGGCTCCCAGGGTTCATTTCACTCCCTTGTTAAACGTTCCCAAATGCCAGCTTCATGGTCACAGGGGTTCTGGGCTTTTTATGTATGAGGTCTAGTTTGGGATTTGTGGGATTTATTTGGATAAAACCAGATCTTAGCAAAAGAAGAACTGGTGTGTGAATGCTAGTTAGGGAAACATGATACAGTTTGGGTAGAAATAAATAAGCAGCCTGTAGAAAGTTAGCACTCCTCTCCTAGACGAATGAACCCACTCCTCTCCTAGACGAATGAAATATTCTAGGAAATATTAAAAAGGCAGAACATTTCCCCTGAAAGAGAAATAAAATCTCAAAGGAAACAGAAACTCGGCCCCAGCTCCCTGCCCCCAGCAGATATTTTCATGCCAGCTTATCTACAAGACAAAATACATGACCCTCTAGGACATAATAGGATTATCTAGCTCACGTGGCACAACCAAACCCCTCAATTACATCACCCAGCAAGGTTCAACCAAACTCAGTTCAGACAAACATGACTTCACA